TGCTAAGGCGGTATGTAATTTTCTTCTTAATCTGTTATAAATCAGCCTATCGTTGTTTCTTTATCTCTGCCATCCGCTTCTTGCTCTGCGTGTTTTGGTTACCAGCTCTCGTGTATGGAAAGGGATATCTGTTTCCTTTCTTCCTTCCTTTGGGGTGGGTGTTGAATACCACGCTGCTTCCAGTATTAAGGTGGTGAAGTACTGATTTACCTCCTCCATTTCGTTCGGTTCTTTTGTTCTTGAGTTCAAGTTTATGTGTTCTTCTATGTATGTACGAAAGCTGTCGCACTTTGGTTGCTTTGTGATAAGTGTTGAAGCAGTTGATTTACTTGTCGCATGTGTACTCACAGTTGCAATTATCGGAGAACGGTCCGACGATAGCTCGAAGCTGGATTCAGCTTGTATGTAGTTTGACGTTATGCCGTGGAGTATAAAGGAGTCCAACAAGTCTGGCAACTTCTTTGGTTCTCTTGGCCAGTACGTCGGTTCGCCGGTGCTGAGATATTTACAGTATTGTCTATTTATGCAGTGTAAGAGATTTCTTCCTTTTGGTGATATGAGTCTCGCTCCCCATTACTTATGTTTGGCGTTCCAGTCTCCACCTGTCAGGAATTTCGATCCCAGTGATTGGAAGATCGCTATGTACTCTTCTGCAGATGTAGCATGTCTGGGAGGGCAGTAGATCGCGGAGATTGTAAAAGGCCATGGGTTAGCATCAACTTGAATATTGGCAGGTTGTATTTTGTCTGACTGGTGGTGTAGTATAGTTCATGGTGAGTGATTGCACCTCGAATTATAACAGCTGCAGTGTCATCTGGGTGACGAACATGGTAGACTTTGTAGTACAGTGTTTTAAACATTGTACTAATGGTAAAGTGCGTCTGTGACATTAATGCAATGTCTGTTTTGTAGTTGTAGTTTGTGGTTTGACAGCCCGTTGGTGTTCCAGAGTAACATTCGTAGCGAATTTTCCATTACTGGGCGATTTTGATTATAACAGTGCTTAGCATGTTTCATGCCATGCTGTTTTGATTGATTAGTTGGTTGAACATAGCTTTGAATTCATTTAAGAAGGTTGATATCTGCTCTGATATGTTGGGTGACTGCAGGTTTTTAGAGAATGTTCGGGAATAGGGAGTCTGTTGATTTGCTGGAGTTGGGCCTGGAGGTTGATTGGGATTTAAAGGAGGAAATTGGTTATTTCTGTTGATGTTAATATTTGTGTTATGTGATTGACTATCGGCGAATGTGACTTTTACTCTCAGGAAAGGTAAGTGTCCATCAGTACATCTAAATCATGTTAACATTCAACAACAGGATGTAGTAAAATACTTAGGAGTACACCTGGACTCAACATTAAACTGGAAACACCATATAGCGAAGAAGAGAAAATAAATCGAAATTAAGTTCAAGGAAATAAATTGGCTAATAGGTCGGAAATCTCACCTAACAATAGATAATAAACTACTGATCTACTAAACAATAAATAAACCCATATGGACATACGGCATTGATCTCTGGGGCTGCGCCAGCAAATCCAACATAACAATCATCCAGCGAAGTCAATCCAAAATACTCAGAGCCATAGTTGACGCACCTTGGTACGTGTCAAACCAAACTCTTCACATCGACCTCAAGATCCCATATGTAAGAACCGTAATCACAGACAGAATCCAAAAACATTATCAGAAACTGGAATCTCACCCCAACAACGCAATAGAAGCTCTCCTTCAACCTACACAATACAGAAGACTAAGACGAACTTGGCCAAACGATCTCCAGGAAAACTGAGGCGTAATCGATGGATTACAGCTCTTCAAGCCAACTTAGTACAATAGAATAATTATTGTACATGACAGCAAATTAGCTCATAGAATGTAAATTCAGATTGCTAATAAATGATAAAAAAAATGTGATTGAGTAAAGTTTAGTCGTGGTTGAATTTTTGTTTTGATTCTTGCTTTTTGTAAGTTGTTATATATATTTTGCAACTGTGGGTTCTAAATTTGGTGACTGAATTTATTGGATACTTACTAGTCATAACTACAAGTAATTATAAGATTGTTAAAATTACAGTAACTATAACATTTAGAGTAAAGTCTTCAAATCACACGTTAACACTTCACAGGCCGACTTCTAATTCTTTTTCAACAATTAATTTCAAATTTCTGAACTCACAGTTCCAATCTCCATACAGTTTTCTGGACGCACACAGCTCCTAGTTCCAATTCTTTCTAATCCCACAGCTCACGATCCTTGCTGCATAGCGATGGCATGGATCACATAGAAAACCCCTTCTATTATTGTAGAGACGTTACCACACAACTACCTTCCAACAATCAGTTTCGGCTCATATTTCTATAGCAATTGATTCCCTATTATTGTTATGTGCTTAAGGTGGAAGAAGTTTACCTGCCGTTGCAAAGAAACGGCAGTTCTTCTGTTGTTGCTTCCGTATTCGTTGCTACGGGGATGTGTTTAGGAACCCGTTACCTAACAATGGATCATATTTCTTCACAACACCAAATGAAAAAAAAAATTGGTGGATGCATTCAAAACACGTAAGGGAGATTCAATGACACACATCACAGAAATCGCATAATTCACTTTAGGAATTAGTCTAAAAATATATCCAACTTCAAAGAATTGGCTGCCCTGAAACTCAAAGTAATATGTTCTAGTTAGAATTTTATAATTTAAAAAAAGGCGGAAAACGAGAGAAATCTGAAGTGTTTCTAATCTAAAACCTTGATATATGAGAAACTTAATACAATCTGGTGATATATATGTTCACTCTTCTATGGGGGTGTTATGATTGTTTCTTATATAGCAGTTTAAATTGTATAAGCAATAGAAGACATTCTTTCAGACATACTCTGTATTCGAAACAAAATAAAAATAAAATTCTATCCACCTTCGTGTTTTCGCGTGGGGAAACTGCACATATTTACCCTCATTTCTTGTACGGAAATGAAAATTTTGAAATGGTTAGATTTATGATATTTTCAAGTGTACAAAGTGACTATATAAGGGGTTTGGATTGATGAATGAATTTAATGACCACTTGTACACTCGACTCGTACGTAGAAGTAATTACAGTGTCTCCGCTAATCTCCACAATTCACAAATCACCACAGCACGTGCTAAGTATTTTTCCACCTTGCTGTGTCTTCAGAAGCTGTTCCCTTGCAACGGCTTCTAACAGTAGAGATTCTTCAGCTGCACGCACTGAAGTTCTCTCTTCACAGCCTCCCGTGCAGAACTCAACTAAGTTGACTAAAATTACATTGCCACTGAGGGTCAGTCAGTCAGTCTTGGGGTCGAGCACCATTTGGGGCTCATGACCAGATATCTATTACTCTTTGACAGTTACAGGTCCTTCTTTACTGTGGGGCGACCTCTCTGACGAGAAGACGGGTCTATCTTCTGTCAGAGTCATTAAGTCATTTGTCATAATGTACAGAATGTTTACATTTTACACGTTAAACGCTTTAAAAATGTATGTACAAGGCTTCTGTCAGTCGAGGCTCAGTAAGCAGATTATGCTCAATTTCTACTATCTTCCGCTACAACGGCAGTCTAGTCACTTGAACGGTTGTATGCTTGACCGCCGCCAAGTTTAAGTCTCTTATACCTTCTACGTCGTGCTTCGCCTTGTCCAATATTGTGAAAATTTTCGTTATGATGATTTTGTATGACTTCTGCTTGTTGCCTGCGTAATTTTGTTACATAATCGTATGCGTACAGAATTTTGAAAGCCATGTGTAAATCGCGAACCTGTGTGTATCTTGGAAAATTGCCAAGGTTCGGAGAACCTTGCTTTGCAGGCGCTGCAATTTCATTAGATGGCTATGTGCTGCGAATTCCCAGGCGAGACTAGCGCAATTCATTGCAGATATAATGAGAAATTTGTGGAGGGTCAGTTTAATGTTAGTGCTTAATCGCTCACATTTGAATGGAAATACACTCTAATAAATGTTCTGAAGGCCTTGGCTTCGATCATTTCTATGTGCAATCTCCATGTAACCCTCCTATCGAAGATTACACCAAAATATTTTGCACTATTTACAAATGAAATATTTCTTCCATTCAATGTAAGATGAGACACAGGTGGATGACGACTGCGAGAGAAGTAGATCCTCCTAGTCTCTTATCTTCATTATATTATATTCTCACTATTAATTTTCGAAAGTCTGAATCAATAGTTACGAAACTTGTGTGTATATCGTGACAACTAAACACATCTCAACGGCGTGCTCCATAAATACCTGCCATCAGTGTGTCTCTGCATATGTATTCCTCCTATCCCTGATAGGTAAAGAAGACACGATAAATTTTTCCCTCGTTCCTTTTTAGGCAACGAGTCGGTGAATGTGTAGCATGTAGGAATATTCTAGACAAATTTCTTCACTGAGTTCGACATCCGTCACTGAATTCAATTTTGATGTAATTACTATATTTCTAATTCTTTAAACATTTTGTATTTATTACTTCTGGTACAGTCGAGAAGAATAAAGTTTCGAAAAAGCCATTTCTTCTCCAGTATTTTTTATTGCTAGTGGGGTGGAACTAAGTCCCTTGCACTGCGGCCATTTCTGACCTATTATACCAGCCCCAGATGATAGGTGAGGGTGATTGTGGAGCAATTGGTGGAATGAAGATTGGCAGGGGAAACCGAAGTACTCGGAGAAAACTTACCCCAGCGTCACTTTGTCCACCGCAAATCCCACTTGACCAGATCCAGGATCGAACCCGAGCCGCCGCGGTGGGAAGCCACCGACTAACCGCTTGTGCTATGGCGTGGCCGCTTCTTCTCCAGTAACTTTTGATATTATCTCGCTTATACAGATATTTGATATTAGTTTTCTAATGCCCTTACTTCTAATCCCGGAATAAATTATATTCAGTTCAGATATATTTGAAGTAATAAATATACCCTTTAAATACATATATATATATATATGCGTGCTTTCAACTTCGTAACATATATTTTCATCATATTATTTTCAAGAAACGGCAATTTATTCGCTACTTTTTATTATGTTACATATATTTTAAATAACTCAAACAAATGGAAAATAAAAGTACTGTACATATATTGCACGAATATGAAAGATGCCACCTATGTTCAAAACTTCATTGCGGTGATGCCAGAAAAATATCACGAAAGCAGTTCAATCGTCCATAATTACAATCATTATCTGAGATAAATATCATAATTTTGTAGTTTATTGTGGAGTTTGAATGCATATCATTAAAGCGATTTTATTTATGTTTGTATTAATAACAACAATGTATTCTTGATGCACAAAAGACATATGCTCTATATTATTTTCCAAATATTATCTGGAGAAGTAAGAATTTTAATTAATTTTAAACGATTACATTATTTTTTAAATCGATTTATTATGGACGGAGCTTTGAGAAGACTTGGCCGCAACACGGACTTCGGGCCTTCTCTCGGCGCATTGGAAGTTCCAGAGATATTGGGTGCAGAAGTGCTGGGCATGCGCAATGCACTGGTTAAAGTTGCCTTCTTTAGAACTCCTCGAAGCTTCGGAGTCGAGAATGCACTCGTCAAATTCGAAGTCCTACATGACGCTGGCAAAGATGATGAAGCCCTTCTGGAGAGATGTGGTCTTAGACTTGCTCCTGCAGGCGAAATGGTTTCTCTAATTTGGGGATCTGGCGCAGAGCTTGAAGTACGCTGGGACACATTCGGGCTTCCCGCTGTTATTTCGGGAATATTCATAAAACTTCCGCCCCTGGCTTCATTCTCTTTTGTCTTCCTGGGAGCATGTGGCGTTCTGAGAGGCGTGAAAGTTGTAGCAGAACGTTTTACTGGTTTCGGTGTGGCCATGTCTTTTCGGCCAAGGATAGGAGTTCGTGGTGCTGGGGAACGCTGTCTCTTGACTGTGCTAGCACGCTGGAGAGATCCAGAGAATGAACTGTTGTCACTGCCATTTAAGGTGGGCTTGGATGTCTTCCTGGGGCGAAGTTTCGGAACAGCTTCCACTTGTTTTATTTTTGATCTTGATGCATGAGAAGCGCTTGTTTCCTGAGCCTGTACAAATAGCACATGAACAAAAATGTTAGACCCAAGAAGCACGTGGGACATGTAGCACGAATGAGGACACGAGGAAAGCGTATAGGATATTGGTGGGGAAGACCAAGGCGTAGGTGGGTGGACAATATTAAAATTGATCTTAGAGAGATAGGATGGGATGATATGGATTTGATTGATCTGGCTCAGGATAGGGACCAGTGGAGGGATCTTGTGAAAACGGTAATGAACCTTCGGGTTGCATAAAACGCTGAGAAATTCTTGAGTAGCTACAGAATTGGCGGTTCCTAAAAGGGCTCAGCTCCATAAGTAAGTAAGTAAGCTACAGTAACCTTTAGATTGCGTAAATTAGCTAGAGTGTTACAATTACTTGTAGTTATGGCTTGTGAGTATTCAGTAAATATATCATGCAGTCCAGAAACCCCATATTATCAACCACACAAACCCCGAATACGTGACAAATAAAGTTCGAGATTTAAACACGTACAGAATAAAATCACGCAAGTCGACATAATAACCTGCGCCTCTTACGCTCTATAAAGAAGGAAAGAATGTGATGGCGTAGTTACTTTGTTCTTCTGGTTTAAGTTGAGTATCGACAGCGCTTCGTGTATCTTTGCACAGGCATCATGAAGTCGCTCCGCAACCTCTGGATCTCTACCCTCGACGTTCAGCTGTTCCAAACTCTGCAAGGTTTGCTGTGACTGGAGAGGACTGGATGTGAGGGGCGGTCCCAACATTACGGCTTGAGCGTCCTCCATATCGTGGATACTGCCAATGCTCCAGGTTTTCTGACGAATGAGCTCTGGCTTCGGTAGCGAGTTGCCACCGAGCACTGGACTTGTTGGATATGAATGGAATGCCTGTAAATGAATGAAACATCTGTCAGATGTTGTACTCCAGGTCATCTGTCTGGCCTATCCGAACATTTGTGGAAGTTAAATATGGAACTCAACATTACATTCCTGAGACTGCTATTAAGATAGACGAGCTCACTGTGAACTTCATATATACGTGCATACTGCTTATCAGGATTAGTTTGGTCAATGTCAGACTGAAGAGTTAATAAATTAAAATTAATTAGGATGTTTTTCGAGCTCAGAAATATTTAAGAGTTTATTTATTACGGTCACTTAACGTTTTCTTAGCAATATATGTCAGTGTACTAGTAGGATGACAGAATTATGAATACGAAAGGATCTATCGTGGCCGGTTTTACTATGATCTGCATGAAACTACTATGGAAATTGGATAAAACTCAATCAGATTATTCGGTGTTCAGGTCAAGAATAAAACCTGGATTCCTCCCGGATAAGAAGCATAAGTGCTACCCACTGAACCACGACACTGAGCCAACAGCCTATCATCGCCCGTAACGCAACAAGAAGAGTTAAGAATACTAAAATAAATTTCTGTGGACTGACACGTACGAGAGATATTCTTCTAATATTTGGCACTTTCATCACCTACGAGAATAAGTTTACCGTGTGATATATATTGTGAGATATGGGCCGTTTCTATATAACAACAGAGGAATGTCCGTAAATATTCTCACGGCAACGAATACAGGCAACAATCCAAGAGCTGTCGTTTCTATGCGACGACCGGTAAATACCTCCCCCCACCCACCCACCGAGGAACGTGACAACAGTATAGAGGAAACTGTTTTCTATGTGGCTCGCTCCAAGCAAATGCACGGAACAAGAGGGCGTCTATTGCTAGGAAACGAAGTTGTAAACACACATCCGAAACAAAAGAAGACGGTGTTTTCCGTGGAGTCTGTGCAAAGAAGTTATCTTGAAGACAATCGGCGCCACGAATCAGTCAGATCTAGGAGATAGCCATGGTAAGTTCATAGTGAAAGAAGAATTGAAGTCATCCTGTGAAGACATAATGCGTGATTTGAAGGCTTTATGAGTGCTGTGGTGTAACTATATCTATAGTGTGACAGTTATAGTTCCTGTGTTAAAATCCGTTGCCAGGAAACTGATAGGGAAAACTTTGCAAAGGTAGCCATTGTTTACATCTGTTACCTAGCAACGACTACTGTAAGCAGATATGGAAGAGTTTATTTACGTGTTATAATTACAGTAATCTTGGAAGTATTATAAACGACCTGTAAGTGGTCAATAAAATAATTACCATTCCGAAACCCGTCTTTGGCCACTGACACGCGTGACAATATTTATTATTTCAGAAATACTTCGAGTAACCAGTGTGAAAAACAAACTGTTTTACTTCTATGTATATAATGGTTGACCGTCGAAGTATGTGAGAATAACCCGTAATTGTTTCTTTAAATGTCTGTGACAATGGCCGATTCATTGTACGAATATTATGTTGGACATAGCCTATTGTCTCCGGTACATCTGACGTGCACAACATTTCGGAATCCACTTCCATCAGTTCAGGGATCGAGACCTTTGTAGTGGGCTCAACTAAATATGCTCCTTCCACCCTCACACCTAACGGCGGAAATGACCCAGTTACTGAAACTTGTTATGTCACATCTACTGCAGACAATTGATAACATGAAGCACAACAAGCACATGGACTATTTCCTTCTGATTTCTCAAACCGTTACACAAATGCATGCCTTGTGAGATGCAGACATTGTAGCAGCAACATCTTCAGCCTCCATTTTAATCTGGCCAGAGGTCAAGGGTAGGCTCTGGGGCCGTACGTTCGTGTTTGTGGTTGAAGAATCGACTGGAAAGAAGGCATCGAGAGATCGATGACGTTGACACGGAGATCTCTCTAGTTGTTGCGTCGTTTGTGGGCAGGTCCAGTTGCTGTAGCTGTTCTGCGGGCGAGTTGCAGTCCCTTCACCTCCAGACAAGAGCTGCATCAGCTGTGAGATAACCTCTCTAGCGACGCGGGCTGTTCCCGGTGCTACAACCGGCAGAAGAGATCTTGCCATGACAGTGTCTTGAATGTTTGCCTGAAACAAGTGACGGAAAATGCGACAACTTGCTCGTACTTATCACTCTCACATATAAGGCCGCCCGTACACACCACGTTGTCATGCAGTTACATGAGAATCGTTTCGAGTGTGGGCGAGATTAGGTTAAAAGGGTGCGTCAGCATTCAAGACTACAGACGTATGCCAGGGTATGAAAACAGCAAGAACAGTTTAAGGCCGCGCCATAGCTCAAGCGGTTAGTCGCTGGCTTTCCAAAGCGGCGGACCCGGTTCGATCCCGGGATCTGGTCAAGTTGGATTTGTGGTGGACAAAGTGGCCCTGGGGCGGGGTTTCTCCGCGTACTTCGGTTTCCCTTGCCAATCTTCATTCCAACAAATTCTCCATCATCATGATCACCCCGGGACAGGCTACAATAAGCCAATTAGTGGCCGCCGTGCCGAGTGGACCAAGTTGGACTCCACCCCCCCACTAAGTGAATTAAAAAAAAAAAAAAGAGCAGTTTTAGCCGCCATCCATTTCCCGCTCTCCCTTTCTCTGTATCAAATTTCCTAAACATGAGGTTTGTCATTTCCATTACGACATTTCAGGTTAACATTGCAACGGTTAGCTAAGCGTTGACAGGTTGCATGTACTTAAGTTACGCAATAGGGCAAGAAGAAGTCGGATGCAATTTGTTTCCGTATATGGTGTCAGTTCTGTGAGCATTGTTATTTTGATGTGGATATAGGAAGTGAAGTATACAGTACAAAGGAAAAGGTTTACGATTGGAAGTTTGTTGGTGCTATTCGTGGGATATGACCTTACACATCTGCCTTGACTCACCATTTGATCAGATGTGACAATGAAAAGGAATAAGGCAGAAAACAGTCGAAATTAATTCTACGAAGGCTTATACGGCAAATGAAAAGCGTTACTGTTGAATTCTCAAGGGGTGTAACGGTAGTGGCTATTCAGCTTCGTAACCGACGCGAGATTCTGTTCTGCTTTTCTGTTGCAGCTGGAGCCTCAGGTTATTGCACGTAATAGGAAATGAACAGCCAGTGTATTTAAGCCAAAGAAAATTTTTATTGATATAATTTAAATACCTGACATAAGAGGAGCTGATTTGCATACTTAGAAGTGCCCAGCGTCGTAAAATACGCATTTGAGTAATGTGACGTATTTACGTCGTCGTCATCGTCATCATAGTCAAAGTGGCGCTAGGGCAGGTTTTCTCAGAGTACTTCGGTTTCCTCTGCCAATCTTCATTTCACAAATTGCTCCACAATCACCCTCACCTATCATCTGGGGCTGGTACAATAGGCCAGAAGTGGCCGCAGTACAAGGGACTTAGTCCCACCCCACTAGCAATAAAACAAATACATGACTTATTACTACTTCTTTTGATGTACAGGATGTCCCAGAAGGAAATGTCAATTTCATCATAGTATCGGCCATTCTAAGCACAAAGTATATATTTACACGTGTCCTCTTCCGAACGGTTTCCGAGATAGAGCTGTTTCACTACACAGCACAATGTACACTGTACAGGCGAGCAACACACCATGTCCTCACACGAGATGCAAAATATATTGATGTTAACGGTGGAATTTTCGAAAATGAATTACACTAGGTAAACTGTACCGACTTTGTCACTTGAACAATAAATACCGGTATTAGAAACAGTACGTAATATCTGTTTCTTATCAACAATTTTGGGACTCTACAGTGAAATAGCTCTATCTCGGAAACAGTTCGGAAGAGGATACATGTGCATATACACTTTTTGCTTAGAATGACCGTTACTTTAACCTCCCAGACCTTTCCTGCTGGGACACTCTGTATAGTCCTAATGATAAAATCGTAGCAAGTATATTTTGCATTCATTTTTCTGTTGTGGTACTAATTCGTTTGAACGTTTTGGCGAGTTTTAATGTATGAAGTCAGCAAATCCTTACCTGTCTCGTAGTGCTGTCACTGCTATTTATTGCGGATGTTTCGGTGCTTGACCTTGACCTCAAGACCGCATGCAGTCCTGATTGTGCACACGTGATGTTAACACTGAGAGACGTGCGGGGCTCCTGCCCAGGTTTTTGGGCGGGCGAGCCACCAGGGAGGCTCTCAATGTGATGTAAATCGAAACCAATGGTCTGCAGCAAACAGACGAGGACTGCAATGTCAGGAGTCTGAAACTCGGGTTCTGACGTCTGAAAACAGTAGATCAGTTGCAGTTCTACTACAGGAAGGCCAAATATACGGGATCAAGACCTCAGAATGCAATTGAAGATGCGAACGAGAAAGTTTCCCGTACTGAGCTTATTAATTAAAATAATAATATTAAAATGATATAGCAATTCGATTTCATTCAGTTTATTCCTTTTTTATATACGTGCGAAGAAGCCAATAACAAAGTGAGCACAATTAAAGAAAAGAAACAGAACACAGAAAATAGGAACAAGACAATTTATATCGTTGCAATAAATAATATACGTAAATAACAATAATAATAATTTTTCTATTCTCTATAGCGTCCAACGTCTGAGCCCACCCAACATCTTATCAAATAGGTACCAGGGGCTCTTTCCTTGCGGGGAAAGCGAATTAAGGGACAAAATTTTACAGTAATTTTGTCTTACTTCAAAAATTTATTTTTGTGCCTACCGAACGTATAGTTGGTTCAGTGCCCCATTGCACTCCGAGTGGCGCTCCAGTCTCCGATCAATACAAACTGTTTGATCAATATCTTATCTATTACATGAAAATCCACACCGAAACCACCTATAATTTCGTCTAACTATTGAGTTTACCAGAGAGGAAAATTTTGGATAAGTTTCAGGTATAGCTGATATTTCGATAATGAAGTCAGTATTACCCCCCTTTTTATAAATGGGTGCAGTAATGGAGTAGTCGTTTCACATTCAAAATTAAATCACTGTTTCAGTAGCTCTCAGAATGTAATATATTTTTCATTTTGCTCGCAATGAACCTGATAGGATTTTATCAGTGCCTAGTATGTACACTTCTTAAAACGTTTCATAGCAACCTCAACCTCAACCTCAAGAGAACTAAGTTAAATTCAGATGCCTAAGCTGTGTGTAATTATGTCCGACTAACATTCTAATTCCACGTACATTCAGTAAGACACAAGAAATTATTCTATTTACTGAACATATTAAGAGATTCTACAAGCATAACATCAGTCTTATCTTTCAAGTTAGTTATAGGCTGGAAACCCTTCTTTAATTCCTTAATGCCCATATAAATGCCTCGATTAACAATTTAAAGTATTTCAAGGTCGTCGATTTTGTCTTTAAAGTCTTATTCCTTCCCTTCATGTCCAATAGTTCGATAGCCTTACATAGTTCAGATTATGTTTACCGAGTTCTTCTGGATTCTGCAACTACTGCTCTTTAGTCTGATTCTGATCTAATCGTTTTCAGTATCCTTACTCAAACCATGATGCTGCTTTACCTCGTACTAATTTTACTCCTCTTTGGCTGAAAATTTTGTAGTCTCTCTAATATTTATGAAAGTTAACAAATAATTACCTGCAGGGTTATATTAAATTCAATGTTATGAAGAAGAGAATAATTTAAAATATGAGTATATTAATCTACTCACATTTCATCAAAAATAATTTATTTTAAGACTGTGTGAAACTAATGTCACAAACCTTAGACAGAGTCGCATCTTTGTAGAACCATTTGACAATCCGATGGAAAAAATCATTTCGAGCAGTTACATATGATTCTGAAAGTCGAGCGTTCAGTTCGCCTTCAGCAGTAGCCATGTAGCACAGAACTGAACTTCCTCCCGCGGAGCGCAGTGATACAACACAGTCGCTGTCAACATGGACTCTGTAGTTCTGGTTCGGAGCTTCTTCCTGCAGCAGGTACGTTCTATGACTGCACACAGTTCTTAGGACGATTCAGAAATCCTTGTGGTGATACTGGCCACCGTTGACACATCTCCGGACTGGTTCAGAAGCGATGATTATTTTATATATAGTTGCATTATTTATATACTTGTGCCTATTGCTTGAATTACTCGTAACCTAGGCGGTTTTAAGCTAGAAATTTCTTTAGGCGACGTTGGTATAAGTTGTGCATGACTTCACTGTTATATTGAACTAGTGACTGCTCTGGTATTATTCGATATTCTGAGTTAACTTCGATTGTGCAAATACCTCCTCTGTTTATGTTCGCATGTGAGATATATTGCATTAAAGTAATCAGAGGTGAACTTCGCTTCCCCTCCTCTGATTTCTATGTCGAATTTCATGTCACACTTTTTTATTAGTATTTACGTTCAGGTTAGGATTGATAATACACATAGCTTGTCTTGTTAGTGTTGATGCAGAGTTTTCACAAATTGTACTAAGTGAAGGCAAGACTGGGAGACGGTATCTTGCCTTCTGCCTGCGTGATTTGTTTCTGAAATTAACGAGTGTACGGATATGTCGATAAAATTTGGTTTCGTAAGTCAGTATTGTAATTTTAACATGAATGACCAACGTTTTTCTGCCACAGTAGTAAAAATAAAACGAAAAGGCTGTTATAAATAGAGAATTTGAGTAACTGCCTCTTCGATGTAAAATGACTCGAGTGTTTTGTTCAAGTTTAGTCATGTACACCTCACTTCAAGGCCCATTTCTAAGCTCATTTTAACCATATGTTATATATTAATATATTTTCGTTCTCCTATTTTAATGTTAGACTCTGAATTCATGCAGTTTTCTGATGATATCCAGTGTGGCTTCATGGTAGTGTAAACCAATAATTTCTGACCATAATTTCATGTACTAAAATTTATATTTTTATAACAAAATATTTTATGAGCCTTATTTTAGTTAAAATATTTACTAATCTACCTGGGAGCTATAAGAGAACAGTATATGTACATAATTTTTATGAGAAATTCCCTGAACAGAAACATTGTGAAACATTCATGTCTCGGAGTACAATAAGCATATATGTGAAATGGCTGATATTCGGCTCCAATTTTGAGGTTTGGTCGTTTGCTGCACTAAATCCTTCTGCTCTTGAAACCCATCCGCGATGACAATGTCAGTTTATGTGTTCATGTCACCCAACGACTTAAATTAGGTCTGCTCAGTGTTGTTGATTACCAAAGAGTAGGAGATTAGGCACTGAGTCCAAGTCACGAATCTCTGAGAGCGCCCACCGAGCTATCTCGAACGCTGCAGAGCGCTCCTGAGCCTCCTGTGTATGCTAACAGTGTGTGCATAGCTTGTAGATAAAGCTGTTTGCATTTGGAAGCCGCCATTCGATCTGAATAATGTCGTCCCCTGACTCCATACCAAAGGCAAGTAATTAAAAAACGTAATAATTTGAATATTTTCTTAAGAGTTTCATATATTTCTACCGGAATACATTGCCAACTGAGGATTTTTTTTCGTTTTACCCACAAATAATGTGGGATAAACAATAATTTAAAGAGAGTAATTATTTTTCAAAGCATTGACGTAAAATATCGAGAATGATAAGGAAATAGTTATACCTGATAATTATAACTAAACCCTGATTTTATTAATTGCTTTGTATATTTACGAAAATTTTTCTAGTAAAATCAATAACTCCATTAAAATTATCTAGTAATAGACTATTTGTGGTTCTCACAGCAGTCGTTATGAACATTTCAGTCTTCTTGGATATGACGCCGTGTAGTCCGTTTAAAGTCAACCGATGTTTCGGAGAAATATTTCGTCTCCATCTTCATGGTCGAAGAATAAGACAAGAAATAAACTTGAACCAGTTAGCAACGAACTATAAGGCGTTTCATTGCAGACGATAGAACTCCATTTAATTCGGTCATGTCCATACAATATATTTAAAATGCATGGGGTATTGTTTTAATGCCTTACCCTTATTGATTTAGGCGTGAAATAATACGATAATATCATAAAGAAGGCCGTTTCTTGTTCATAATTCTTTCTCTCAACTTGTACGAAATTTTTTATCTGAGGACACCGGTGACTCATTCCTATTCGACTGCGTGTATTATTCATACACTTATACATAGTAAACAGTAACAACAGTGTGTAAGATTTGAGGCTTTCACGGCGGTGACTATGACATATACACGGCGCCAAATCCCAGAAGACTGCTTTCTTCTCAGTAACAACAGTGATAATTAAATACGATATTGCACCTAGTAAAGACCACTGCTCGCCGGTCACGGTAGCCGAGCGGTCTAAGGCATGTACTGTCTTTGCTCGCTTGGAAACCGGGATCGTGGGTTCAAATCCCACTCAGGGCATGGATGTTTAGTTTGTGTGTGTGCGTGTTTCTGTGTTTGTGTACAAGTAGAGACCTTGCGACGAGCTGACCACTGGCCCAAGGAGTCCTACCGTATGTGTAAGATCTAGAAAAACCGAAGTGAACGGAGAAGTTCATGGAGGTAGGCCTAGGCCCACTGGGGCTGTAGTGCCAAAGAAAAAAAAGACCACTGCTAATTTCGCCTGTTTATAATGAGACACTACGATAATTAAATTGGTCATCGTTTGCAATTCTGCCGAATTGTGTCAGTTCCGTTTCGGACGAGCTAGAATCATCTTGTGTTTCTTTGAGGTCCAGAGAAGATGTTGGTCAACTCGTTAGCCTAAATATTAGACAACGTAGATTATTCAGTCGGATTAAAGACGGCCGGACCGTGAATATTGCCAACTATACTACATCTAGAAGCGAGGTAAGGGGATGTCTTGAAGCGTTGTATTCTGTTTGTGGTGCTTAGAATTACGAGTAAAATGGAAGGGGCTTTGCCGTCACACAGACAAATGGTTATTATTTATCAGTTCCCATCATAGGTCGGTGTAGATAGGTCATCATCGGGAGATTCTTGTGGACGTAATAAAGAAAATGTTTTATAATAACACTTTAGTTGTCATTTGTGTATATCCTCAAGAATCACTTTGTAATGGCCTATCTAGACGCAATTGTGAACTTATAAATAAAATAAAAAGCAACAAATGTATTGAATGTTTCCATGCATCTATATTTCTTTGGTAGAATCTTCTTAGTACAAATATTATGTTTCTGGGCGTTATCCATAGCCCTGTTTTTTTTTATAGAACACCGTCTTCCTTGCATTTGAAAACACAACATTTTGGAGATAAGGACTATCTCTATCGATTGGGCAAAATTGAATACGTTTTACTTGAAGACGGAGACAGAATTCAGCCTCCGACATGTTGTGTTTTTAAGTATAAACAGCATGGTGTTTTAGATAAAAACAGGACGATGGGTGATGTCCAGAAACATAATAGTTTTAGAGTCTTTTTCTTACTCGGTATCTAAATCATACTTCTGTTTGCTCACATAATACCCTAAAGCATAGGCAACGAAGACTTTCACTGGGGTAAAGAAGGTCGAAGTGTAATTAATACCACTTAACTACCATGTGGGTCAGAGGAAGAAAATTTGTTCAATTTCACTCTTCGATCGACGGCAGAATAGAGAAAACAAATTAAGAGGATGTGTATGTGTTAACTACTTTCTTTTTACCCTTAATTTTCCGCGGTCCGTGTGCAAAATACTGTAGGCGGTATATTGTTTGTTAGGAGACCTTCCCTCCACAAAATTGCGTGCGGCTACTTAGAGAGGTTTTCAACAAGAGACGCTATTCGAAACCAACATTGCTTTTGTTTACGTTTCAAGGTTTGCCTAGACGTGTCAGAAGTCGTGAAGCTCCTCTGTGCTGTCGGCTTCAGCGTCCGTCACCTAGATATATCGGAACCATATGATGTGACGCCCACCGGCGTCTCAGGCCAGGAAAGGCGTGGTGGTTGTCGTGTTGTGGTCTCGTGTACCACTTCTGGGCTCCGAGCCGTGCTTGAAACTGTGGGGGAAGAATGCAGATGCACATCGAAACAGCTGAATATGGCGGCGTCTAACACTCAGGTGCTTTTTGTAGAGAAACTTCCTGGTATATGACCCTCCTAAAAGTAAAAGGAAAAGTTCCCCCTGTGCTGAAGTAATCAAGCATTACGCCATGAAGACGTGTGGGGGTGTAGATGTTTTCTTGAGATCGGCACTGTTTGGAAGATAGTGGTCACATCCACGTCCCGGCTGCTTTACCCCAGGGGAAAGAGCCAAAGATACATATTAGATAGGAGGCTTTGTGGGACGCAGAGTCGGTCTGGAAGATATGGAGAAGTGAAAATTCTTGACCCCCACCAGAACTTGAACTCCGAAAGCCTCGGCCGTTCGACCCGTGGCCAGTTGCTATACAGACTGCTCTATCCTAGCTCTCATGACCCACCTAAACCTCTAGAAATTTCCACCACTAATTGTCAGCATCAATATCTGACTTTCATGTAAAAGTGTTATGTTTTGTAGGTTTTCATAGCGGTGACTATGAAGAATGCCTTGTTCTGGGATGTGGAGCCGTGTTGATTTTGTGTGAACCGACATTTCTCGTGTTATATTATTTTAAAAAATATACCGAAAAGGTTATATGCTAGATCTCGCCTGAAATGTTGAATGAAGGCCGTCTATTCTTGGTTTTGGAAGGATCGTATGTCTTACCGTGTGTGGCTTTAACGGATTTACACGTACATATTACGGGACTTTTTAAAAGTTGATATGCACAGGCCCATCTTTAAATCTGTATTAATTAATTCGCATAGGGGGCGTAGAGTCCAACTGGGTCCACTTGGCACGGCGGCCACTGATTGACCTATTGTAGCCTGCCCCGGGTGATGATGGAGAATCTTGTGGAATGAAGATTGGCAGGGGAAACCGAAGTACTCGGAGAAAACCCGCCCAAGCGCCACTTTGTCCACCACAAATCCCACTTGACCAGACCCGGGCCGCCGCGGTGGGAAGCCAGCGACTAACCGCTTGAGCTATGTTGCGGCCTAAATCGATGTTACTGTAGAGACTATCCAGTGGCCATATTTTCATTCTTATTTGATATACACAGAGTTCGACAGCTGTCTCTATGCACGTCTACAGACGAATGGCTCTCATTGAACTGCCAGGTGCCTTTATTACTAGTATATTAAAGACCATTAATGCACATTATACTAACATAAGATAGTGGAAATAGTTAATTGCATGGAGTATATTTTTCTTGACGGAAATAAAACTATCGCCTAATTTGCCAAAGTCTCCAGCTTTTATGGAGCCATGAAATAATTTACCCCACTTACTAGCGCCTGAAATGGCCCCTGTTCTAGCACCTCTAGCGGAATCCGAATTTCCTCAACTGTGGCCTGAAGATCTGTCGCCGTACCGTATTCCAGTGTCTTTCCCCAGCAAGAGGACCTACTACTGGACCCTATTTAACGAACCAGGTTAGCGCAGTCGATATAGTGGCTGGCTACGGGCTGGCCAGCCGGAAGGTCGCAGTTAGAATCCCAGTAAAGACAAGATTTTTCTCTTCTCTATGTCGTTCTGATAGGTTCTGGAGCCCACGTAGCCCCTATCGAATGGCTACCGGGAGTAAAGCGGCTGAGGCGTGAAGCTAATCATTCACCTCCAGGTTGTGCCAAGTCAAGAACACGTGGACTGAGTCGACACCAGGGCCATAGTGTGGCTGAATGGATTAAAAATTAATTTCTGTTGCGCACACATCCACTTCAGTTATGAAGACAATTTAGCATTATTTGTGAGTTCGAATTTTGAAAATGCTTTGTAATATTGAAGCTTTAATTTTGAACGAAGTATATTATTGAAAAATGCAAGTGGTCCCACATCGGTCGTTCAGCAGTTGCAGTTACCCATCTGTACTTAGTTTCGTTGGCCACTCTATCCGGGTTCTAAATTTTCTAACACACCAGAAAACCATACCCCTTAAGGACAGAAGCCATAATGACACCAGAAACAAATTTTCCGGCTCCCATACAACCATATAAGTGCACAAATTATTAGATTAATTTGTTATGCATTTAAACGGACATTTCACAAATTATTATAGCGGATGGAACTCAGTATTTTGGAGATAAGGCAGAAAGATGACTCAAATAATTTCCTTCCAGATTTTGTACCCAATTTTGAGGCACACTTTAATGTGCTTTCATTTCTATTGAGTAAAGGACAAGTTGGGTTTTGATTAATGTAGCGGTACTCCCTAACACCCATTTTCCAAAAGACTTTGTCTTACCAGCTGCCGTGATTTAGGAACGTAATTCCCGAGGTTGGTGATGGATTGTAGCCACTGATCTGTTTCCTTATTACAGGTTGAGAGAGTAATCACTCCGCTTAGTGACCCAGTATCACTGATTCTGAGGGAATTCCTAGTCAGTTTGACAAAGTATGGTATTCAGCGGGAGAACACAGCTTGCACTAATATTGCTGACTCGTTAGCAAATAAATGCACTGTAGTGGAGGAACAGAAACAAACACCAAACTTGCAGGTTCATACTGGACTTGGTTCAAGAAGAAACATCTTTGGTTCTGTGGACCAACTTCTTACGTCTTCGGTTCCAGATCTCCCTCTTCAAAAGGGCAGAGTAAGATGAAATATGAATATGGGGCCTAAAGAATAAAAATGTTATTATGCGAAGTTTACTGTAGAGAAATCTGTAAATGTTATCGGAACTGTGTCTTAAATTTTGCTGTCTATGAGATGAGCCTAGCAGTCACTTATATTTGGGTAGTGACCTGTTCGGGTCTCGACCGGGACGTCTACTTTCATAGCTTTTTCTTATTTTCCCCCTTCATCCACCAGAGAATTCCGGAAAGGTAGCTTTCGATATGTCACTGCTGTTTCCCTCCATATACTTTCCAGTTTATCATTCTTCAACCATTCTACACACACAAGTAACACAACTCATATCGACGAAATACGCATACCTTAACATTACACATAATAATAGACCTATATTGATAAGTATTAAAACATAACTTCTAAAATAGTGACATATAGATACTTATTTCAGATAGACACTAGCGGCCTCCGTAGTCTAAGGGTAACGTTCCCACCTCATGACTCAAGGTACGCGGGTTCAAACCCGGCGGAGGTCGTGGAATTTTTAAGGGCGGAAATTTCAGGGAAGAGGTTCTCCGGGAGGGACTTTAAGCCGTGGGTCCCGTGTCGTACGGCACGTAAAAGAACCTCATGTCTCAAGGAGACCACTGAGCCAAATTTGTTAGGACATTTCCCGCCCAACAATAGTCTCTAACGCCTCTGGTAGATGGGGGAAGCATCTAGATACCGCTGAGCCAGTAGAGGCCGAACTCGCTGGCTGAGTCGGGACTGATGGCACGCACCAGTACCGGTAGGGTATAGAGACTGGTAGAATATCACAGGGGGACGTACAATATAGATCAAACTGGTCGCGGTGCATGGGGGAACCCACCCCCTCCCATAATA